CAACAATGTACAAGAACATGCTGTAAATAGGAACCATTTTGCTACTAATAAAGAAACCTTCAAATCTATCTATCTATCTATCTATACCCTGAACCAACCTCTGGGCTGATCAAAGTCATTGCACAGGCAATTCACAGATTAAATAGGAATTTAGGGTATTGGGTTTTGAGGGAGGACTGCGACAAAAACCCATGAATCAAGGGAGAGACCTAACAAACTCTACTCATATGTGATGCAGAGTCTAGGAATTGAACCAGAGACCCCAGAGGCGAATGGCAAGTGTGCTACCACCATGCCACCATTGATACCAAAGCCAGTCTTTATTACTTACCAGGGGAGATGGGTCTTCCAGTACTCAATGGAACAGGACTGGAGATGGTCCGTTCTCGATGCGCTGATCCACTTGTGTTTGCTTGACCATGTGATGTCATTTCATTGAAATGTCTAGAATCATAAATTAATCCTCATTGACGTGACATTTATGACAATAACATACATCATTCCAGGGGTTCACTGAAGCCATGTTTACAGTCGTAGCAATAGACCCCTTGCAGCACGTCAGAATGCAGCTCAATTTGGAAGACATAGCAATAGGTTTCCATTTCTCATGAGATTGAAATTCTTTTGTTTTGTCCTCCAAGTTGAGTTGCTTTGACATCACATGCAAGGGGTCTATAGGCCATTTTGCATGATGGTATCATATTTTACTACCTTTACTACCATTATCAAAATGTTTTGGGGATCATCTTAATTTCTTATCAAATATTTCATTCCCTTGTGACAATTGATGGATTGCAAGCATTCACAAGAGAGTCAAATCATGTATGAAACAGACATGGCAGCCATGTTGGTGGTATAATAAAGGAGACTATTGAGAAATCTCTCGTTAAATACTACCAACATGGTAATGTAAAAACAAAGGAAAGAACTTAGACAATGGTACTACAGTAATTACTTGAACAAAAAGAAGTTCGCAAACAATTTTGGTAGTTGTGGTACATGATAAAACAAGTTTCTTTAACAATTGCACATTGTGCCATCTCAGCCTCTCAGGGGAGCGTTGGTGCCATTTAACAAAAGATTTCTCATTAGCATCCATCGTTAATGGCACCATAATGGCCGCCATGTTTTTGTTTTTTGACTCTCTTGGGAATGCTTGCAACCATATTTAGTAGCTCTATTAACTACGTTGCAGCTCATCAAGAGTCCATAACATTAGCATTAGCAGGATACTGTACCTCTCATCATCCATCTCCAAGCTAGATTCACTTTCTGACAGCTGTCTGCTCAGTGCTTCTCTTCTTTCCATTTCTCTGAGTAGCTTTCTCTGAAGTCTGATGTTTTCTTCCTTTGTCTGGCGTTCTTCTTTGGCATATGCCTGCATCTTTTCGCAGTCTGGATAAACACAGACAAGATAAAATATTTATTTATCATTATGACCATCACCATCATTATATCTCAGCGTCATTGTCATCATCAACAGTCAATTTCCATTCAGAATAAGTTTTCAAAAAGACACAAGCTTGTCCCAGTAACCATTTTAATAACCAATGAATATGAGGAATGATTTTCGTTTGCATAGAATGCTCCTATTCTGGTTCTGACACAACACCATTTGCAGTTGACTATAATTTAAATAAAGCTTAGATAAGCAAATTATTTTGCATTGTGTTGCTTCTACAGTATGATGGAAAGCCAAACAGCCTAAATTGAACACTACCATAAGAGTAGTGTTCATAAACAACATAATAATATTATTATCAACTTACAGTCTGCTTCAGATTTTGCCAGCTGTAACCTAAGTCTTCTTATTTCTTCTCTAAGTGAAGTGATGTGTGTTGCTATGCCTCCAACAGCATCTCCTGATTCTGTAAACTGCCGTGGAGAGGGCGGCTCTGAAATAGGCTCCTCTAGCTTTTCTTGTAACATCCTATTTAAAAAAGAGGGAGAGAAATAGTAAAAAATTATTTCTTTAAATCAGACTGCATTACACTACTGAAAACAAAGCATTCCAGCTTAACCAAATCAGGTTTCAGCAAATACTGAAATCAATACAAAGTTCCAACATTTTGCTGGGCCTCTATTCTATCAAGCCCTGAAACAAGCACTGGGCTGATCTAAGTCAGGACATCGCTAACTCACAGATCAATCCCTGAAACAAGCACTGGGCTGATCTAAGTCAGGGCATCGCTAACTCACAGATCAATCCCTGAAACAAGCACTGGGCTGATCTAAGTCAGGGCATTGCTAACTCACAGATCAATCCCTGAAACAAGCACTGGGCTGATCTAAGTCAGGGCATCGCTAACTCACAGATCAATCCCTGAAACAACCACCATGCTGATCTAAGCAGGGCTTGCACAGCTAGCCCACAAATTGAATTGGTATTTAGTTGGGCTTTGCAAAAGGAGGAAAACCAGACTCTAACCAAGAGAAAATCCCATTTCAATATATTCAATAAAAATAGATGGGCAATTTTCAAAACATCACTAATGTTTTTACAAATTTATTGGCAGCTTCACAGTGTGCTCCTAATAACCAATGCCTCAAGATAAGTACGTGTCAAGACCATGCAATAAACCACATCCATAAGTTATCAACTGCACCCACCACAAACCAAACCACAAATTAGACTACACCTCCCATTGTACATAGTAATTCTAAATCACATAGAAATGATTTATCATTGGTCCCTATGTAGCTGAAAGAAACAGCAGTTAGAGCATCAGGTATCCGGAAGGTTATGTTCAATTCCTATCAGAAATTCTGATTTTTTTTAGTTCCTTTCAGCTAGAGTCCAATGATAAATCATTTCTTTACTACTTCCTAGCTTATAAATAAATTCATCATCTAAAAGATTACCTTTTCTCAGCTTCTAGCCTATCCATTCTCTTCCACAGTCTGTTAACAAGTAGTTCTTGTTCTTGTTCTAGTGTGTTTTCCAGATCAACCTTTTCTCTTCTCAACTGATTTCAAAATCAATAGAACACAATTATCATAAAACTTAATGATTAGAATGTACATCAAGAAAAGGTACCAGGAACAATTCTGGTTTAATCAAATGGTCGAAAGAATTCAGTTTCCCAAGGAAGAAAGACTCTATGGACCGTTCTCTCAAGGTTGCGAGCGCATTCAACTTGATGAGCCACAAAACTGAAAAATGCGAATTCAGTAAATTGAGAAGCCAGCTTTATATTTTTTATGAATTCTTATTGAAAAAATTTCATAGAAATGTATGAGAATACTTGTGTTCTGGTATCGTGTCCCATCAAGTTCCTTAAATTTGGATGCACATGCAACCTTGAGAAAATGGTCTATTGTTGTGCCTCTTGTCATGGCTTCCATCATGTGATGGTACAAAGCCTCTATAATCATGTCTGTTATGTTAAGCATGAGAAAGACTAGATGTTACAGGGGTTTATACTGTACCTGTTCTAGAGTAGCCTGTTTAGCTAATACATCTGATTCCAGTCTATCAATTCTTCTCATTAGTTTGTTCACTTGGTATTCCTGTTCTTGTTCCAGTGTCTGTTCTAGCTGGATCTTTTCTTGCCTCAACTAAGTAAAGATCATTATTTGACAAAACATGGTTCACATATGTTTTACTGGGGTGGGGGGGAGGGGGAGGGGGAGAAATATCAAGGACTTTTCTGGGTTTTGTTACTCTTCTCGCTTGGCATAACCCTTGCTGTCCAACACCTGGCCATGGCTATATACTCAAATGAGTTGGATGTGTTTTCTATTCAGTGCATTGTAATTTAGCAAAATAGAAATGCAAGTGCAATAGCTGTTATTACAGTTGAGCCCGCAATGACAAAGTCTTCTTTTTTAAGGAGCATACAAGTAAGGCTATTGGGCCGATACAATGCTTGTTGTCTCATTTGCATCTCATTCACATGCATCCATAATAACTGCTATTGACAAACATGGTTCACATAGGTTTTACCGGGAGAAAATTGAAGGACTTTTCTCTTCTTTTTTTTTTTACACTGGTAAAAAGTGAAAATTTTATGTGACTGTTAATTTCAACATCATCATCACTATCAACATCATCATCATCATGCATCACCATCAACATGCATCATCATCATCAACATCAAAATCATCATTATCATCATAGTCATCAACATCATCATCATTATCATCATTCTCATTTTGTCAAGTATGACCACAGTTTGGTGAACTCCGCTATAATTACCTGGGCCAACTTTCTTGACAAATCATTTGTCAAGAACTCTTCTTCTTGTTCATAGTTTGTAGCTAAAGTCTCTTTTTCTTTCTTTAATAATTGTATTTTCTTTAGTAGTGTATTGGATATAAACTCTTCTTCTTGTTCTGCTCTTGCTTGCTATAATGAAAAAATTATAAAAAAATTATCATCAAGCTTATAGTGACTGTAACACAGGGCTTTCAGAATGTTTTGGAGTAGGTGGTCAAAAGTCTTAATTAGCTGGCTGTAATTCAAAACAATGAACAGAAGGTATTTTATAGAAAAGAAAAAGTAGGCAGTGATTAACTTTGAAGCAATCACTGAATCTCTGGCAGCTGCCGGTTTATTCTGAAGCCCCACACCTGTTTAATGATTCTTAATGCAGTATTATAGCAAAAAAAGCATTGAATAATGATTTTGAATAAATTATTGAAACTCCATCCTGTTTCATTTTTATAATTTTTTACAAAAAAAATAAACCAAAAAAATTTGACCAAAAAAAAAACCTTAAAAGATTGACTTAAAAAACTAATAATAAAAAAAACAAAGATTTCATCTAAATCTAAACCAAATAAAGTTTGACCAAAACAAAAACTTAAAAGATTGATTCAAAAAAATTAATAGTCACAAACCAAAGATTTCATTTAAATTTCTGTGGCTTTTATCTGACCAAATTATTCTTTTTACAATAAATATAGATTATAAATAAGAAATACTAGAATATTTATTGAACTTAAGGTTTGTCTCATGTCATAAATATTATAGGCCTTCCATCTCTCCTGAAGGTGTTGGTCAATGTCACATATTTATTACAACATATAGTTTTAAACCAATCAATAACTCGGGATATAAACATCCCACCTACAGGTGAGATACATTGTCAAACAGTTAATATAATTATAATAGATATGTTGAGAAAATGGATGGTTAAACACTGGAGAGGTTTTGAGAAAACACAAAGGAAAACGATTTTAAAAATGAAATAAAAGAAACTACAAAACTGTGTGGTTATTAATGACTGGTGTTAGTCTTCTCAGGGTATGAATTACATGCATATTATAAATTAGCAAAAAAAAACTAGTTTGACAGCAATAATTTTTAGCATATCAATTATTTTCCCATCAAATAAATAGAAAATAAATGAGTTACGGGGGAGTTTAAATGAGAAAGACTAGATAGTGATTATTAACTGACCTTAGTCTCCTCAGGGAACATAAAATATAGATATGTTTTTAAAATGGGATTGATTCAATTCAATTCAGTGGAAACCATATAAAAGGTAGATGGCATATGGGAAAGTTTTAAGCACAGAAGAGGGGAAGTATAGTGGTTAAGTGTTT